AATATTCAGCCTCTGCGAGGGCATCGTCCACAGAGTCGGCGCCGACCTCCTCGTAGTCCTTCTCCAGTGCGGCCATGTCCTCACGGGCCTCGGTGAACTCACCCTCCTCCATGCCCTCCCCCACGTACCAATGGACAAAGGCACGCTTGGCATACATCAGATCAAACTTGTGGTCGAGGCGGGCCCAGGCCTCGGCGATGGCGGTGGTATTGCTGAGCATGCACACGGCCCGCTGCACTTTGGCCAGGTCGCCTCCGGGCACGGCCGTAGGCGGCTGATAGTTGATGCCCACCTTGAAGCCGGTGGGGCACCAGTCCACGAAATGGACGGTGCGCTTGTTCTTGATGGAGTTGATGGCAGCATTCACATCCTTCGGCACCACGTCGCCACGGTACAGCAGGCAGCAGGCCATGTACTTACCATGGCGGGGGTCACACTTCACCATCTGGTTGGCCGGGTCGAAGCACGAGTTGGTGATCTCGGACACGGACAGCTGCTCGTGGTAGGCCTTCTCAGCCGAGACCACTGGCGCGTAGGTGGCCAGCGGGAAATGGATGCGTGGGTAGGGTACCAAGTTGGTTTGGAACTCCGTCAGGTCTACGTTCAAGGCACCATCAAAGCGCAGGGAGGCTGTGATGGACGACACGATCTGGCTAATGAGTCGGTTCAAGTTTGTATACGTGGGACGCTCAATGTCCAGGTTCCGGTGGCAGATGTCGTAGATGGCCTCGTTGTCCACCATGAAGGCGCAGTCAGAGTGCTCCAGGGTAGTATGTGTGGTCAGAATGGAGTTGTAGGGCTCCACAACAGCGGTGGAAACCCGGGGGGCCGGGTAGATGGAGAACTCCAACTTTGATTTCTTGCCGTAGTCCACAGAGAGGCGCTCCATCAGCAGGGAGGTGAACCCCGAGCCGGTGCCACCTCCAAAGCTGTGGAACACCAGGAAACCCTGCAGGCCGGAACACATGTCGGCCTGGCAATGCACAAAAGAGTGTTCTCACGACGCAAAAATTCAGACTTTGATACAGTACTGAAATGAGACCATGACAAAAACCTAGAACATCAGTAGAACTGTGCAGAGGTTTCTAAAAATCAGTGGTATCCTTTCATTTTGAGTGGCATACCGTGCAACCCCATAAGAGAAAGTGTTTCAAAGGGTGCTTTACCTCTCATCCGAGCAGGCTTCCTCAGTTCATTCAACAGCTGGTATTCGTTTGTATTTATTGTTTTTTTCATACTTGTGACTTGACAAAAATAATTCAGTTAAAAAAATAAAGTTTTCAACATACAGCGATGACTGGGCATGAGGTCGACAATGATAATTTTGAGAAGCTGAGTTTTAGTCGTTGAATAAATACTAAATTTGATGTCAATGAGTACAAATTTGATTAAGTGTGATTTCAATCTCAATCAAAATCATCTTTATTAGGAATTGCATAATCTTGAAACCCACTTAAATTATATTTAGTCATTTCATGTTTTGAGTTAGAACTGTGGCCATGGAACAAATTAAAGGCACAACTATTCTGTGTGTTGCTTCCTAACGTTATGGGTTTTTTTCCTTCACAGAAATGCAAAGTATTAAGAACATCAGATACCCGAACACATTGCAAGGCCCGATTTACATAAAACACAATTAATGAGTTTCCCCTGGCAGCTGAGTAGGCAATGTTGGTACCTTCCAGAAAGCTGCTCACCAATTTGCGTATCCTGTCAGCTACATGGTCGATGATCTCTCTGCCGATGGTGTAGTGTCCGCGGGCGTAGTTGTTGGCCGCATCCTCCTTACCTGTGATCAGCTGATTCGGGTGGAAGAGCTTACGATAGGTTCCGGTGCGCACTTCGTCTACACATAAGATCTTGATGAGTCATTAGAACTTTCACTACACGGATCAACGGTGGATTTACCGATGACGGTGGGCTCCAGGTCCACAAAGACCGCCCTGGGGACGTGCTTTCCCGATCCGGTCTCACTGAAGAAGGTGTTGGAGGAACCCTCACCCCCGAAGGCAGTTTCACCGGGCATCTGACCGTCTGGGAGGATGCCGTGCTCCAGGCAGTACAGCTCCCAGCAGGCATTGCCGATCTGGACGCCAGCCTGGCCCACGTGTATCGAGATACACTCACGCTATGGAAGGAAAACAAGTATTTGTACAAGTCCCGGAAAGTGTGAGGAAATTTTGAATAAGCTCGGACGGGTGAATTTTAGTCAACGCCAACTGCAACATCCTTAAACACAGCCACGATCTTTTTGATGTTTTCAACAAAACCAGGTTTACCCACGCGAGACACCTTTGACAATTACAAATGATAATTAAATTCCCTTGCGCGGAAATGGCGGAAATCCACTAAAGTGGCTGCTTTAAACCAAAATGTATTCCCGTTCTTTTCAGACAGTTCTTCAGTGTCATACTGTGAAACTGGTGTCATGGTGCAAAGTTTCTTTTCCACTTAAGTGAATTCCTTCAAACCCCTAAAGCACATACATTTGAGTACAATAAAGACCCTCAATACATTGGTCTAGTTGCCGGAATAATAAAAAATAAAAATGTAGTAATCTCCAAAGTGATTTTAGTGTAATCCTTCTTAAAAAATATTGATATGTTATACTTAGGACCCAATCATGACTATTTTACTGTTTTAACTTTTACTTGCATCGCAATTATGATTGTCATTATTAATGATTTTGTAACCAATTTTCCACTGTTCAAACGGTTACTGTTGTACATGTCTGCACCACTTCTTTCCAAAAAAAGAAAAAAAGAGTATGGATGTTTTCCTGAAGACAAAATATGGCTTTTGCCCTTTCTAAACTGAAGAAAAAACATTGTTCATCTTTCTTACAAAGAAGACAACCTATTGCTGTTACAGTACTTTCTTAAAGACAAAGAAAAAACGTTGTTTTTCTTTCCTAAAAAGACAACCAATTAGTGTGTACTTTCTAAAAGAGTACAGATTTTATCAAAGAGGAGACAAACAATAGATGCTGCATTTTCCTAAAACAAAGACAAATTGTTGATGTTATTGTTCACAAAGACACACTATTTGTGTTGTACCTTTTTTTTCTTCGAGAGAGGACAATCTGTCTTTCTGTTATTGGTGACTGCAAGCAGTTTCGAGTTGATGCTTCATTTTAAATGTCACTAAATGTGTTTCTTTCTACACATATTCAGATTTGCATTTTTTTGCCCTTACGGTACCCAACATGTACCATCAACTTGAAAACACTTTCATGCATGTATTATCACCTACAACGGGATGTATTATCACCTACAGCGGTTCCAAAAAGGGTTCAAATCTAGTACCGAACTATGACTTGGCGTATTGTCACAGCCCAACCCATAAAAAGTGGACCTCCTTGCTTTTGAGTCAGACTCATTCCAAGTTGTTCGGAGAAAGAAAATAAAAACGCCAACCTAAGCAGATGCTTGGGATTAAAAGTCGATGCTGAACGCCCCACCCTCAAAAAAGCCTTTATCACACTCACCATGTCTCCTGAAGCAGAAGTATGTGAGGGTTGGAATGAAAAGGCAGCAGCGACAGTCTGAACTGCCACAGATGTTTAGTCTTGCTTTAAGGAGCAAGATGTTCTCTTTTTTTCTTTTTGAACGCTAAACTAGGTGCTAATTCCAATTGGTTGAGAAGCTCTTGAGAGTCCTTTTCTTAGCAGGCCAATCAAAGAGGTCTTTTTGTCAGGAGCATGCTCACTGGCGTCCTCTGACTGTATACCTCCACTTTTTTGCTGCAATTTAATTCACACATTCATTACAGTGTCACATCATAAGGGCATGTGAAAAATACATTCTACTATTAACAATTTGCTGTTATGGATTGTATCACTTTTGATTCTACTTGCTCCGCCAAGCATTTTCATATTTATTTAGTTTTTGTTTAACTGCTGTTATTATGACAGACCATATTTAAAAATATGGCCATTCGTTATCCGTATAAAGATTTTTGCACATTATTGCCTTGGCAGAGGACTGCGCTCTATTTGGCACTGTCCATTGCAAAGCTTGTATCTCCAAAGGTTGCAAATAAAACAACTACAAAATATGTACTATGCCTGTGTCTCTATTATTCGTACTTCTTTTGGAGGTGTGTTCATGTTTTATACATAATAAACAAAAAGAAAATGAAAGCTTGCTAAGTTTGTTAACTTGTGCTTTTCATTGAAGGTCTATGTTCTGTTTGTCCACATCCTCTGCAAAGTCTGTATCTCCAAGATTGTTCGTCGACACTACAAAAACATTTATTGCTTATCATGTTTATGCATACCCAATAAATGAAATCAATCATTAATGACCTGGCAAAAAAAATGCTCAGTTTGATTGATGTTGGCCTGGGTGCTCTAAATGTTGGATTTTCTGTTTTTTATGCATCAAACCACCAAAACATCGCATTACTTCATCTTGAAATACTTAGTTTGTTTCCATTTTTAATGCAAAATCAAAAGCATAATTTACGTTTGCCTTCAAATGTTCGAGGTTTGTTATTGTTATGCAATTGAAACAGCAAAAGTATTCCTGTTTCTTCAGCAAAATTAAGGTTGGGGGTTTATTTTGTTGTTATACAAAAAACAAAAATGTTTTGCGAAGAAATTTGGAGATACACACTTTTTAGTGGCTAGTGAACAGTGGTTGTGTCCTCGAAAATTGTTGAATACGGTAAGTGTCCCTCCATAGGAAATCCTAAGGAGTGATGCCATTTTTCATAGTTAACAGGACGAAAACCTACCGATGAACGTGGACTCCTGCTTTCACTGGCCGGTAAGCTTCTGCTAAACTAACTTTACGAACCATTCTAAAGTCAAGTAGGATGCGAAATAATGGATGTTATTGTGGTTATCTTTTAACCAGAGTAGGTATTATTGGGGTCGGATGTCACAACGCTTGTGACGTTTATTCAAACGGCAACGTTTTCTGACGTCACACCAACTCGCTTATTGTGCCGTTCTGATACAAAGTTATTTCTGTGTGACGCAACCCGACAGATATCAGCGACCAAGAGCTTTAATTACCGACCTTTCGGGCTCAAAATCACAATTAAACCGACAAGGTAGTGAGTAAAGCGTTCTATGACGACCATATGAACCATAAAGTTAGCCGTGCTGAGTTCAGGGACACTATGGAAAATGCACTTTCCGCTCCAATGAAGCCAGGCACTTTAAAAAGCAACGAAAATAGGCTATTGAGAAAATTCTCCGGACCACGGATGACCAAGGAGTTTCTGAAGGATCACTGCAAGCAAAACAGGCTCTACTCCACGCCACATTTAAATGACACGCTCTACCTACACTTTAAGGGATTCTCCACCATCGAGAACTTGGAGGAGTACACAGGGCTCAAGTGTCTGTGGCTGGAGAGCAATGGGCTGCAGCGCATTGAGAACCTGGATGCGCAGATCAACCTGCGGTGCCTATTCCTGCAGCAGAACCTGATCCACAAGCTGGAGAATCTCGCACCCATGCAGAAACTGTGCTCCCTGAATGTCTCCAACAACTACATCAACACCATCGAGAACATTTCCTGCCTCCCTCAGCTCAGTACTCTGCAAATTGCCCACAACAAGCTGGAGGTGGTCCATGACATCCAGCACCTGAGTAAATGCGTGGCCCTCACAGTTCTCGACCTGTCACACAACCTGCTCCATGAGCCTGCGATTCTCCCCATTTTGGAGGCCATGCCGGAACTGCGGGTCCTGAATTTGTTGGGCAACAAGGTGGTGACCAACATTCCCAACTATAGGAAGACTCTTATCGTACGTCTTAGGCATCTCACCTTCCTGGACGACCGGCCCGTTTTTCCCAGGGACAGGGCCTGTGCAGAGGCATGGGCTCTGGGTGGTTTGGAATTGGAACGCAAGGAGCGGGAACAATGGGACACCCAGGACCGGAAGAAAATCCAAGATAGCTTGGATGCTCTGGCTTTGATTAAAAAGAAAGCACAGCGAAGACTGCGCCTTAAAGAGGAAGCGGAGAGAGGTGAGCAGTTTTTATGTCCAATGCAAAATTCTTACCAGTCTATGGATTACCGTCTACTTGTCTTTTCCCAGGTGACACTGAGGCTTCCATCTCTCCCGAAACCTCTTGTGAGGAATCGGCTGGTGAGAACATCCAAAGCTTTGTGCAGGAAACACTGAATGCTCACAATGAATTTCTTCAAAGTCAAGCAATGCGGTGCAATGAAAACCAGAAAGATGAGTTGGATTCAGATTTGGAGCAGCTTGATGAAGGGCTGGAGGCCAAGGCTGTAGATAAGATATTTGAGCAATATGATAAACAAGCATTAGATGGCAACAAGGATCTGCTTCGTGGCGGTAGACCAGCAGGAGAACCTATAACAATTGTAAACCATGTCGACCAGGAAAACCAGCTGGGGGCTAGATTGGTGGATGCAAAGCTACTGCAAATTGATGACTTTCCTGTTCTTGAGGATGTACAAACACCTGCTGAGAACATCCAGCGCTTTGTTCAGGACACAATGGATGCCAATGAGTTCCTCCAAGGTCAAAAAATCCTGCAAGCTGATGAAAACCAGGAAAAATTTGAAGGCTCCAAATCAGAGCAGCTCGATGAAGTGTTTGAGACTTACATGAAACACAAGATGTGCGAGACAGATAAAGAACATACTCAGCGATCTGCTGATGAGCAGGATCAGGTTTTTGTTGATGAAGAGGGAAAAGAATCTAGAACAAGTTTGAACCCTGAGCAACAGCTTTCTTTCAGGATGTTAGATTCCCCTGAAGAGCCACAAGGCCCCAGTGTTCTGAAGGATGCAGTGTTGCTGCATGTTGATGATATTCTTGATGATTTGAAACCTGGGAAGATTCTTAGCCTTGTGCACAACACTCTGGAGGCCGATGAAGAGAACCTCCAAAGTCAAACAACAGTGCAAGCTGATGAAAACCAGGAAAAAAGTGAAGAAACTAAATCGGAGCAGCTTGATGTAGGACTTGAGGCCAAAGAGGAGATGTCTGAGAAAGTGGAACGTGATGAACATGCTTCACAGGTGGGTAGAGATGATGAGCAGGTTCTTGACAATGAAGCAGGAAGAGGACCTAAAACTATTAGAAACCATGAGTCTGAGAATATTCAGAGTCCTTTGGTGGTAGATTCTCCTGAAGAACAAGGTTCAAGTTCACTGTGCACAGGGCTGCAGGATGCCGTGTTGCAACATAGTGATGATCATTTTGTTGAGAACATCAGATCACCCACTGAGAACATCTATAGACCTGTGCAGGACACATTGGAGACCCAGGAGGAATTTCACCAAATTCAAAGAATACTTAGACCTGTTGAAATCCAGGAAAAAGATGAAGCCTTCAAATCAGTTCAACTTTCTGGTTTGGGGACCAGAATTGAAGGGGAGACGTCTGAAGAACAAAAAAAAGCTCACCATGTGGATGGAGAGGAAGATCACTTTCTTGCAAATGAAGAAGGAAGAGAATCTCCAACATTTGTAAAACCTGAGCTCCAGCAGAGCCACCTTCCTTCTATTGTAGATTCTCTTCAAGAGCCACATGATTCCGGCCTAAGAGGGCCTGGCCTGCAGTATCCCGAGTTGCACACTGATGACAGTTTTTATCTTGAGGATGTGGAACCAACTGATGAGAACATCCATAGACGTGTGCAGGACACACTGGAGGCTAATGAGGATATTAACCCAAGTGAAACAACACAGGTATCTGTTGAAAACCAGAATGAATGCAAATACTCCAAATTAAAGCAGCTTGATGAAGGAGTAGAGGCATTTGAAGAAGATGAACAAGCTCGACAAGGTGATGATGAGGTTCAGGTTCTTGCCGATGAAGCAGGAAGCCAACATACATCAATTGTAAATCCTAAGAACAATGAGAATCAACATCCTGAGGCGAGGGCGGATTCTTTCCAAGGACTGCAGGATGGAGAACTGCTGCATATTGACCTTACTGTTCTAGAGGATGCCAAACCATCTACTGAGAACATACAAAACTTTGTGCAGGACGCAATAGAGGACCACGAAGAATTTCTCCAAAGTCGAACACAGCCAGCTGATGAAAATCAGGACAGAGCCGAAGACTCCAAATCAGAACAGCTTGAAAAAGTATTGGAGGCCAGAGCTGAAAAGGATTTGACTGAAGAACAGAAAGACAAGGTTCAACAGGCTGATGGAACAAAAGATTATGTTCTTGGTGGTAAAGTATTAATAGAGCCTACACCATTTGTAAACAATGAGAATCAGGAGACAGCACTTCCTTCACTTGCGGGAGAATTAACTGAAGGGCCACAACATTCCTGTCAAGATGGGACTGTACAACCACATACAGTGCTGTTGCACTTTGACGATCATCCTGACCTTGAGGAGGTAGAAGCAATTGCTGAAAACATCCAAAGTCTTGTGCAAGACCCGGTGGAGACTCATGATGAGTTTCTTCGAAGTGAAATAACACAGGAATCCATTGAAAACGTGAAAAAATGTATCACATCCAACTCCAAGCAGCTTGATGAAGGATTAGAGATCAGAACTGAAGACTTCATGTCTGAAGAACAGGAAGAACAAGCTCGAGAGACTGATGGAGAGAACAATCATGTTTTTCATGATGTAGCAACAGTAGAACCTATTCCAATTGTTAACCATGAACATCAGGAAAACCAGTTTCCTTCCATGAAGGTAAAACCTTCTGATGAGCCCCTCAGGACCCAAGTGGAGGATGCAGTCTCATTGCACATTGGTGATCGTCCTCAGCTTGAGAATGTTGAACCCCTTTCTGAGAACATCCATAGCCATGAGGAGTTTCTTCAAAGTCAAACAATACAGTCATCTGATGAAAACCAGAAAAAATGCAATGAAGGTTTGGAGACCAAGACTGATGATGAAATTTCAGTGAAAGATGAAAAAGAGGTCCAGCTGTTAGTTAGTGAGGGTGATCCTCTTTCTGATGAAGTAGAAAGACAAACCGAGCAACCGGAGCAGCAGGATAACCATATTTGTACAGTGTGGATAGAATCTTCTGAGGGGTGGCAGGATGCAGAGCCGCTGTGCATTGATGATATTCTTCTTGAGCATACGCACACATCAGGCGAAACCATTCAACATTTTGTGAAGGACACATTCGTGGAGGCCCAAGAGGAGTTACTACTACAAAGTGAAACAACATCTCAGTCTGTGGAAAACCAAGAAAACAATCAAGACTTTGAAGCAGAGCACCTCCGTGAAGGTATGGAGGACATAAGAGAAGAGATGTTTGAAGAAGAGGGGGAAGCTCAGAAAGCTGATGGAAAAGTGGATCGGGTTCGTTTCGATAAAGTGGGAAGTCAACCCACACCTATTGTAAATTCTGTGCACTGGGAACACCAGCTTCTTCCAGTGATGGCAGATTTTCGTGAAGAACCACAAGCTCCATGTACACTAGGGGCTGAACTGGAGGATCGAGTTGTACTTTGCATTGATGAGATTTTCCTTGAAGATGCGGAACCACCTTCAGAGAACTTCCACAGCCTTTTGCAGTACACACTGGAGGTCCCTGAGGCATTTCTCCCAAGTCAAACAATACCGTGTGTTGAAGAGTCCAAAGCAGAGTATCTTGTTGATATGATTTCTGGGGACGTGGAAGAAAAGGCCCAACATGTGGATAGAGGGAAATTCCGAGATAATGAACTTTCTTTGGTGATGCTAGATTCTGAGGAACCACATCGCCCAGGTCTACAGGCGACTGGATTGGATGATGCAGAGTCACTGCAGTTTGACAATTATCCTGATCGTCAGGTTTCGGAAATATCCTCCCCTCAGCAGTTGTTCAAAGTAAAAACAGAAGTCCTATCAGGAGATGGTTGTGAAGATGGATCAGTCTGGAGCCAGATCCTTCCTAGTGATCCAGATAATAAATCATTGTTTTTAATGAGTAGCTGCTCCAAGTCACCAGAACCACCTCATGATTCATCTCTGCTGTACCCAGACAATGATGTGGAGCCTCTGGCTTTGGAACGAGAGGAAAATTCCAACATCCAATTGTCTTCTCCAGCCCGCTGTTTGATTGTGGAGCTCGAATGACATCATCAGACGACCTGATAACACTTTAGAAGGTTTTTTTTTTTTTTGTACGTATGCACTTTAATTTGATCAAATAGAAGTTCACATGCGACAGTAGAGAATAAACCAAAGTAAATCCCAGAGGCACTTACAAAATGGCATAGCTTGTAAGCTTTTCACAATGAAAACAGAGTAAATGAAATGGGTAATTGTGAATAAAAGCATGCTAGTTGCTTTAATGAAAATGGAACTACTCATTTGTCAAAAGGTATACAAGTATTGGGACATGTGATCAATACACCGCAATGAGAAGTGAAAATAATTGAGCTAGAGATCTCCCAATTGAAGTAGATTAATGAATTGATTTAATAGGGAAGTCATGCAATACTTTAGTGCATGTTGAGTAATTAAAGATGAACCTTCTTTTTTGGTTTATATACTTATAATTGGATGTGCTTTTATTTTTATTTAAAAAAATTGTAGCGACACAATTACTGGGACAGCTCTTTAATCCATGAATCTACAGACAAAAAAGACTCATCTCTTGATATACATGTGTACACTTTGGATGGTCTGTTTATAAGTTACTTGTCCAAACGTCATGTGTCATACCTGATAAAGCTTATCACTGCAGGCATAAAAAAATTTTTTAAAAAAACTATATATTGTACGTAGGGACAAAATGTTGACACTCAGTTAATTCATCTCGATGAATAAAAGTACTTGGAAAAAAAAATCCATGGAAAGGCTTTCGGACATCAGTAAAATCATTACTGTACATCCCAATACTTCTGTCAGTGCAATATTGTAGTCAATCTCTGTTGTCAAAAGTACATTCATGTGAATAATCATGTAAGTCTACATCATTACATTGGGGGTGTTTCATAATACACAGCTGGAACTAATCCGTCGCTTCAGTGGCGTCCATTTAATGAAACACATTAAAAATACTGTACTAAATTAATCATGCATATATTTCAAACATTCCTCTCAATAGCTTAAATGACCTGTTGCAAAAACATCCAGCAGTGCCAAATGACTCCTCTGCCCTTCCTCACCCTCCCTCCCTCCCTCCCGGTCTAAAAGATGCTATCCCTTTTCACCTTGCTCTTGCGCCTGCTCTGTGGAATGACTTTCATGCTTGGCTGCAGTCCAATTTTATTTCAGTTGTTGCTAGGCGACAGAGACGTCCTTATTGCCTGTGTGATGGGACCCCATACACCATCACTACGATCTGTTACTCATTATCGGCGTCAACATGAGTCATGTTGGTCAGATGGCTAAATATGTCCTTACAAATGGAGACATGGACTAACTAGGCACCGGGGTCACTTTATTAGGTGTAGTACCGTTTTAAAAGTTTGGTGACACTTAGAAAGTCACTGCTATTTTCAATGAAGATAATTTTGTCGGGGGGAGGGGGGGCACGGTCATCGAATGGTTAGCATGTCCACCTCAGAGTACAAAGGTCATGGGTTAGCTTTCGCCCTCTGGACTTCCTGTATGGAGTTTCCATGTTCTTCCCATGTCTGCGTGGGTTTTTTTCCAGGTTCTCCGGTTTCCTCCTGCATTCCAAAAATATGGACAATATGTTAATTGAACACTCAATTGTCCCTTAGGTGTTATTGTGAGCGTGAATGGTTGCTTGTCTGAAGTGTGCCCTGCGATTGGCTGGACACCAGCCGACTGCCCAAAGTCAGCTGGTATAGGCTCCAGCATGCCCGCGACCCTCCTGAAGATAAGCAGCTCAGATAATTGATGGATGGATGTTAACTTGGGGCAAAGCTTGGGTCAGATACTCAGGGGTGGGGATCTGTGAAGTAAGTTTCTGAATCTTGCTAGTAGTATTAACACTGCAAACTTCCCGTTTCATTTTTCTTTTTTGGGGGGCTAAAAAAATGGAAATCATACTCACAAAACTCTGAGCTATAACAGGGGTGGGCAATCCCAGTCCTGGAGGGCCGCTATCCTGCATGTTTTCCATCTGTCCTTGTTGCAACACACCTGATTCAATTGTTCAGGCCTTGCTGATGATCTGATCATTTGAATCAGGTGTGTTGGAGAAGGGACAGATGGAAAACATGCAGGATAGCGGCCCTCCAGGACTAGGATTGCCCACCCCTGAGCTATAAGCTTCTTTCCCATGTGCCTGAAAGCACTGTTAGGTCCAGGCGCTCTCTCGCCTTATCTATTATCACTCGTTTATTCTTAGACTCTCCACCAAAAATAAACGAGGACAGCAGGGAACTTGTTTTTCCTCCCTTCCTCTTCGTGGAAATAAAGACTTTAATTTCCTGCAAATACCAATGTCTCGTCAAGCTATCGAGAAAAACAGGCCTCATGGTGTGATTTATTCATTTTAACATCAGTGTCTTCATGTTCTCAACCACCATTTTTACTTAAGCTTCAGAGTTGAAACACTATTTCTCACCAATAACAACTAAAACTGAACTTTTTTATTGCGGCGGGGGG